TTTTTTTAGATTGTGATTGTTTGAAATTAATTTTCTCTGAAAAGATGTCTTCTTGGTTGAATTAAGATTTTGAATATTGTTTATCTGTTGTTGATTTTGAAAAAAAGTGCTTCTTGAATAAAGAGCTGGGCTGTATGAATTTTAACCTAGTGTTACAGCTATGCGACCGATCATGATGAAACTAATATTTAAGACAATTGCCGTCAGGTGCTATTAGTTGCAATATTATTTGAATGCAAGAGTATTCTGAAGAAGAAAACCTTAAAGACAGAAAGAGATTTGACTTGGCGTGGTAAACAGAATGCAATATACATATGATGTGTTATTGAATTGTACACTTGAAACGTATATATAATTTTATTAACCAGTGCTGCTCCAATTTAATTTTTAAAAAAATTAAATAAAAATGATTTTATTTTGTTGGAATTTCATTTTAAATCATCAACGTTATGATTTACACTCTTGTATTTCAGGGAAAGGTGGCTCAGACAGCATGTATGTCAGCTTGCAAGCATTTAGCCACATCCTTGATGCAACTTTTGCTGGAAGCTGAAGTAAGGCAGCTCACCTTGGGAGCTTTACAGCAGTTCAACTTGGATGTCAGAGAATGCGAACGTAAGACAGTGAACCATTCCTTTGCTTGTTTGTTTTCCCTGCATACTCACTTCTGTGAAAAACATTTCTGAGTCCATGGGGTCTTTGGTCCTGATGAAGTCAAAGAATACCTAGATGACAGAACTAACTTGCAGGACTTCTGTCATTAAGGAATTTGAGCACCTAAATGTGCCTATGTCCAAATGTAGAACAGAGAAGATCCCTGGCCACAAGGAAGTTTGCAATCTAGGGTGCGATATAAGGCAGATGTGCATTTAACAGACACCAAAGAAAACCAAAGAAGCCCAAAGACTTCAAAAGAGTGCATCTCCTTTTTATGTTGTATTTTACAACTATTTTTACATCTTATTTGCAAACACTTCTTAGTCTAACGAACAAATGGTGTGTGCATTTATCAGTCAGAAATGCTTCTATTATAGGTAGAAACAGAAAACCTTAGAGTAGTTTAAACACTTAGGTTTTTTTTTTTTCTCTTAGGCAATGAGTTACTGAATTGATTTAGTTGCTCAGTGATGTCATCCAGGAATCAGGCATTTTTGTTCCCTCTCCTCTGCCATATTTAGAGTGTGGACTTCTGTTTCTCATCTGTATTGTAATCAAAAGAGACTCACATTCAAGACAGGAAAAAGGGTCCAGCCTCACCTATTCCTTTTACTAAGAAAATAACAGTATTTTCAAGAGACCTCTAACAGACTTTCCTGTATGTCTCATTGGTCAGAATACTCTAAGGGAGGTTAGATTATCTGGGAAAGAGATAGTGAAGCATTATTATTGACATAGTTGATTCATCATGAATCATTCACTTGGAGTTGAACACAAAATTCGGCTTCGGTTAGGAAAGAAGAAGGAAGGATTGAAGAGTGTCGTGATGTTCATTGTTCAGTCAGTGAAAAACGAAAATGAACCAAAATTATATGACTCCTGGAATTTTTTTCTGATTCTAAGAAAATAAAAATAGTGAAAAATTCTATGAGTCTGCTAGCACTTCTGCCCCACCTTTTTATTTTTATTTTTATTGGTTTCCCTTGTTTGACTTTGATGGCTAGAAATTAGAGTTTTATTGGCTATGCTATTTTTAATGAATTAATTAATTGAGACTTCCAGTTCTAGCCATCACAGAATAACAGGTATCAAAGTCACTCTTCTTTCATAAACAGTGGTAAAACTAGATAAATGTATGAAGCAACTCTTTTTGAGCATTGGATAACAGACAGCACAAGGCTATGATCCTTTAGAGAGGAGAGGTACACTAGGTAAGTTTGTCATTTACTCTCATTTTCTGTCTAGGGGCACTATCCAAACAGCAGCAGAGGAAAGTAGATCCCAAATACAAAGCACTGTACCACACAGAAAAAGAGAATAGCATATAAGGCAGGTGAGACAGCTAGGATTTGTGCAGCAAGATACTAAAGAACAGGGAGTTATTTAGAGAAGTAGCTCCAGAAATCTGCATTGGAGAGTCCTTAAGTCTGATCAAAAACTGAGTTGCCATGTGCAGGGTGAAGCTTTGTGAGGTTTGGCAGAGAATAGCCACTGAGGATCTGTGAGCTGAATAAGAGTGCCAGAGGTTACAGAGTGCTAGGAGACACTGGAATTCTGACCAGTCAGGGTGGAGAGACCAGCTAAACATCTAGTACATTCAATAAGACCCCAAAACGTCAGGCCTTAAGAGCGCTACTTAAGCTCTAGAGTGAGTACTAATCTTGATCCATCCTAATAAAGCCTAATAACAAGACTTAACAGGATAAGAGAAATCTGCCAATAAAATAACTCCCTGCTAAAACAAAACTTAACAGTCTTTGAGGAGGAACACACACACACAAATTCCAGACTCCCAACCACACAGTATCCACAATTTCTCAGCAAAAAGCTGTAATTTGACATGAAAAGAAACAGGAAAATGTGACCCATAACGAGGAAAAAAACAGACAGACCGACTGACAACACAAATGTTGAAAATAACAGACAGGTCCTTTAGCAACCTGAATATAAATATACTCAATAATTTAAAGGAAAAGATGGGCATAATGCATGACTGTAGCTGAAATTTTTTCAAGGCTTGATAAAAAGTATTAATCTACTGACTCAAAAAGCTCAACAAATCTTTAGCAGGAAAAACACAAAGCTATACCCGGGCACATTATGGTCAGATTGCTAAAAATAAACAATGACAAAAGAGAAAATCTTAAAAACAGCAAAAAAAAAAAAAAAAAGAAAAAGAAAAGAAAAGACATTACATATTGAAGAGCAATGATAATTACTGCTAACTTCCTATCAGAAACACTGCAGTGAAAACCAGAAGACAGTAGAACAGCTTTAAAGTACTGAAGAGGGGGGTGTGTGTGGGTGTGTGTGTGTGTGTGTTTGTGTGTGTGTTGGGGTGGGGGGTGGAGGGGCATTCAATCTAAAACTCTTTATCTTGTGAAAAATATCCTTTAAAAATAAAGGTAAAAGAAAAACATTTGCAAATAAACAGAAGTTCATAAAATTTGTCACCAGAAGGTCAACATCATAACACATGTAAAATAAAAGACAGTTTTTCGAAATGAAGGGAAATGATACCAGATGTCAGCTCAGATCTACAGTGTAACTACATTGTTCAAAGATGTCTACAATAGTATCTCCTTTTCCACAACTTTTTCTAGAATCTTGAAACTACCTTATTAAGAAATGACATCTAATTCCCCTTTCTTTGAATCTGGCAAGCCTGTGACTTGATTGTAACCAACAGCATATGGCAAAAGTAGCCTTTGTGACTTCTGTTGCTAGATCATAAAAGCTATGCAGCCTCCATCTCCTTAACTGCTGTGTAAGAAATCCAACAACCCTGAGGCCCCCATGCTGTGAAGATGCCTAAACCAGCTCTTATGGAGAAACCAAGTGGAGAAACGCTGACATCTGACATTTAAAATTTTCTGTTGTCGATACTGTATTTTGTTGTATTCCTTTAAATAGTATCAGGTTTTGTTTTGACCTGCATTTCCATTATTTAAATTGGTTGAATCCTTTCAAGACTTGCTTTTACATTTATAGTGGGTCCAGAGCAGCCTTTTGTCTAGGTCTTATTTAAACCCAAATTTAAAACAATGCCCTCTGCAGGATTCTCTATCGCCATGCCCAGGTATCTGGAGATTTTTCAATTCTGGCTGGTGGGAACACAAAGTATGCTCAGATCTAAAAGAAGCTCCATTTCTGGTGGTTTTTTCCCTGGACTTGGGTAGTTTTTTCCAGTATGTGTGCAGACTAGAACTCTGCCAAATACTGAGTGGCACCCTTCTGTCGTTTTCCTGAGCACCCTCCTTTGTAGCCTTTTCCTCTCTGGTACTTGGCCCTGCAAATACTAGTTGTCTCAGCATTCTGGACTGCAATCTCTGACTTATCAACTCAGACTACCTATATTTTGTTTGGGTTCCCCGCCTTTGCCCGTTTTACATCACAGCTGGGAACCTGCCTCTAGGCATGCTCACCTGGTTTGTTTTCCATCTTTTATGGATCACACCCCTGCATTGACTGTTGTCTAATAACTAAAACCATTCTTTCGGGTGCTTTGTTCAGTTATCCACGTTTTTTGTTTGTTTGTTTTTTGTTTGTTTGCTTGTTTGTTTTTAATGCAGTGGGAATATGAGTCCTCTATTACTCCATCATGACCAATAGCAGAATAAAGTAAACTTCTTTTCAAGATTATATTTAAATTTTATTTTTTTTATAGAAGTAATACCTGCTCTTTGTGGAAATTTTTTGGGAAAACAGAAAGGTACAAAAAGAAAATAAAAACCACCATTATCTCATTGTTCAGAAATAAGTACAATTCCAGAGATTATATCCAGACAGGATAATATCCAGCAGCCACAGAATTGTTTCAAGAAGTCATCCACCAGATTCTTTGCATCTAGTTAGCCAAAATTGTTTTACATGCCTCTGTCTTAACCAATTATTTACCAGGAAAATGAAAACATAATGATTGGCTACAATCAATATTGATTCTTGATGTTGAGTTTGAAGTCATTTTTTCTGAGTTTTGATGAAAGAGGAGAACCTCATTCTGACATAAAGAAGAGGGAGGAAGGGACTTTGGAGTAGGCAACCAACAAATATCTGGTTAAACCACAGTCTGATGAATGATTGGGAATGACTACATTACTGCATTTTTGATAGAGCTAAAAGTTAAAGAGAGATGGGTGGAAATAAAGCTAAATATATGAGTTTCGGAGAGGAGGAGTGATGGCCTAGGAGAAGCACCGATGAGTAGAGAAAATGCCCATCTTATTGCCTGATTCTGAAGTACATTTTATATAGAAGAATGAGCAGCTTCTACTTGAGAGAACTATAGGTGAATTAGTATCCTTAGCAGAGAGCCAGCTTTCAGGTAAGACTAAGAGGTAGAGAGATCATTTAATGAAAAGGCGGAAACATAATAGAATTTGTTAACCTTGCAAAAGGAGTTCCAGAGAGCTAGTATCTTATCTAAAAAGCCATTTAATATTTGTAATAATCTTCAGACTTAGGATCAGCTTGAAGCTAATATTTGTAAGGCATAACAATGCCTTCAATAAACTTATTACCAACTGAAATTTTTTCTGATATGTTGTGGAGCCACTAAGTTTCATCGATTTAGAATTTAATGTTTCATTTCTGATTGGCAGTAATTTGTCTGTCAAGAAACTTTCCATGGACATTTATTTTACTTTAAAAGAAAGAATTCTATTCTACGTCTTTTGCTATACCATCCCCCTTATTTCTTTCCCTTTAGATGCTCAGTGGTCTATAAAAAATCTTAAAGAAATGATACATAAGATTCAAGTAACTATACAGAGGCGTATAAAAGCAGCCCCAAATGACAAGATAATTAACGCTTACATCCTTCTACCCAGTGGTGTGTGCGTGAGGTATTTTCCCTATTGTGTGAGTCCTTGGAAGAACTGCATAGGTCTTGAAAGAAATCAAACTCTGGACATGATAGAATGTGAGTGTACCTTGAGTATTTGACTCTAAGGCCTGGG